GGAGGATGGAGCGGGGTGAAGGCTCCGCGGCCAAACTCTGTTGCACTCCCTTTGCTGGGCTGCTGATAAGCTGCACAGTGGCTGGCTAATGAGAGATATACGATAACAAGTCCGGTGCTGAGCCAGCAAAGGTGGCAAATGATGAACTTTGCTTGAACTTTGCTCATTATAATGTGAAAACCATACTTCCATCCCAAAAGTTACCCGCCTCCGAGGTACGACCACCCCTCACTGAGCATGCGCTCTAGCTTTTCGGTTGACTGTACCTTTAAATGAAAGCGAGAAACTTTTTCACCAATCAATAACAATATTAAGTATGACTCTAGTCACTCAAGCTCCACCTGAATGTAAAGAAAAGTATAAAAGGTGAACTAAGGATGAAGAGGAGGAGGGAAGAATCCATCATAACTCCTAGGTCAGCTGAGCCCCCTTCCCTCCCCTCGGGTCGGGACGCTGCCTGAGGAGACTAAGAAGTGAGGAGGAAAGAATCCATCGTAAATTTTGGATCAGTCGATGCGCTGATCCCCCTTTCCTCCCCTGGGATTGGGATGCCGCCTGAGGAAACTCGAGACTGAGAGCCCTCTCCCATCTTCTGGGGTGAGTGATGATTGCACATTTGTACATCAGAGCTAGCTAAAAACCCCACGCTGTAGTAGAGAATTTCCTGTACTGACATCCGAAACCTGCTTTGTAAATGTTGCATTTGAATAAATCACACTATTTGGGAACTCGATTCGCTCCTAGGAAGACAATATCAGACCTACAGTCCACAGACTGTTTGTGAATGCGTTACTGATTTGATATCTCCTCCCCCCCCCCACCACACACAGCTTTCAAACTGCAACATTTCGCAACTTTAAACACCAGGCTGCTGGTTTCCATATGTATAGAAAAGTAGTTCTCCTGCTCTCCCTGCAGCAAGATGGACAAGGGGCCTGATGTACATTTAAAAAGAGGGCTATAAGGCCTTGGAAACTCGAGTACTGATCATCTGCTTCCAATACAATTACTTTACACATATGAAATGTGTAAATCTTCAGTCCTTAAAAATCTGTGGCACATCCTCAAGAACAAAAAGCATCCTGGGGCATGCCCTGCTCAATTCTGGCTTGCCTCCACTTTTCTTCCCCAAACTTCTCTGCTCTCCTTACAGGTGTGCAAGGGAGCAGCAGGGGAAACGGTTGCCCTCCCTTCTCTGCATTTATTTCCTCTCAGCCTCCCCCTTGTGCTGCTCTTTGCCCGGGGCTCCTGTCTGGAACCTGCCAGAGAGGCCCCGCGTGGGTGCGCGGAGGCGCCGAGGAGCCCATGCAGCCTGCGGAGCCCTGCGGGAGCTGGGCACGTTGGCTCATCCTGCAGCCCCCCGCAGCCTGGGGCACAGGCACAGGCTGCACCAGCAACCAGCCCTTGCTGGGGCTCGTTGCGATTCCTGCAGTGTGTGGAGGGGACCCAGAACCGGCTGGTCTGCTGATTGTGTGTGTGGCCTCAAGGGTGTGTGTGTGTGTGTGTGTGTGTGCACCACACGCCTGTGCACCTGTGTGAGTCAGTGCACAGAAACTGGTAGCACCTCATTCTAAACTTCTGTTTTTCCAGACTTCTTGACCCATTTTATCAAAATCTTAACAATATTTTGAGCTTCTTGGAATAGCAGAACACTTAAACAGACTTCAGTTTGGAGCGTAGTACTTTGAAAAACAGTAAGTTCATCATTAAATGTCTGTATGACTAAAGAAAAAAAAATTATGTTTTATCCAGGCTGTATTAATCCACAAATTCATATATAGTTTCTTGCTCTTTTAAAAGTAAGGGTATGCAGTTAGTCAGAAGGCAGGATTTACTGCTTATTTGTTTGCTAATTTGTTTGGGGTTTTGTTGGTGTTATCCTAGACAGTGCATTGGTACTGCTACATGTGTGTAATTATGGAGGCACTGCTGTCACTAAAGGTTAGAAGTTAATATCCAATAATATGGCATTTAGTTCCATAGATGGTTTCACTGGGTTCAATAGGATAACTTGAGAGTGAAAAATTCAGAAAAGGAATCGGAGCCCAGTCATGCAACATTTGAAATATATTTTCATCCACTGGAAGTTGGAGAGTAGGTGTTATTGGGGAGTAAGTGCTATTTTCATCCCTGCAACAAGAAATGCAACTGCCTAAATCAATACAAAAACACATCCTATGTATTTGAACCTAAAAGCAGTAATGTAAGAGAAATGTTACTTTCAACACTGAACAGAGCTATTTTTTAACAAGGAGTTTTTGGCAGATTTTATTTTTTGTAGGGACCACAAAGTGTTGTTATTGTTGGATAAAAATAACACCTGCAAGGGAGGCTAAAATTCTTTCTGAGATAACAAAGAACAAAGGAAAGACTCAGGATTGGTGTCAGCTTTACCAGCTAGGTCATGCTCTCCGTCCATGGGCAGAATTCCGGTCGGAGTCACTGTGTGTCCCCAGCCGGCTGTGTCTGAGGGTGGAATCTGGCCCAAATGAATGACCAAAGCAGGGCTGAGGGTCAACAGCCAGTGAAGGAAATGTCCTTTCACTGTAGCCCTCCAGAAAGAGGAGTATCAGTGCGAGGCTTAACTTCAAGGCTCGTGCCCTACGAGGGAAGGGAGGAAGGAAAGTTTAAACCCTGTCAGTCCACACTGGGCAGCAGAGAGGTTGGCAGAGCTCCGTGCTGGTGCAGGGGCGCCGGACACGCGGTCCCAAGCCGCTCTGGGAGCAGAGAACACACTTGAGTGCCAGCTGCGGGGGGCACATCTTGTTTATGCCACTGCCCAGGAAAGGAGGAATCTCTCCAAACGAGGCGCCTTTTGTCTTTAGGTCTGTGACCAAACCAAACACAGTGCTATACCTGCTCCCCTGAGCCAGAAAAGGGCCTTTGTGGATAACGTGTATCAGCCTGGAATGTTTATTCTGCACAAACCAAAGAACAACAGGATAAAGCAGCATTTGCTCATTCCTGAATAAGTTAGTATATATGCCCTGGAGAGGTTCTGATCTTTGGTCTTTGCCTTCGGAAAATTATACGCTGCTTCTATGTCTCTGACTTGTCAAAAGATAGGGCCAGCCCTGCACAGTTTGGCACTGCAGTGTGAAATGAAAAATGAAGATATGAATGATTTAAGAATGTATTTTTCTAATTATTGGAATATGTGTTTTGTTTCACTGCAAAGACAAGAGGCAGAAGGGGCTAGCAATTTGGGAGCCCCTGAGAGACTGAGGGATACAATAAACATCACGTGCACTCTCTGCTGTGTGCAGACAGAAAGATGTAACTCACTTCAGGACAGACCCAGTACAAACAGACACAGTCACCAAAACCCTCGCTATGAAACTTGGCACCTAGACTAATACATGGCTCTTTGCAAGGAAATACTTCTGTTGAGAACACTTTTCTCAGTTTAGGAGCTGAAAATGCGATTTTCCTGTAGCTCCTGTAGATGTACGATGGGTTTGCTTGATTTAAAAATTTCTCTCCACTTGGGAATGAAGGACAAAACAGAATAATTTCATGTTGGACACTTTCCCAGTCAGTGGGTGACTTACAAGTTGTATTTTAAGCACAACCTTATGTTTTCCTAGCTTTTGCCTTGGGCTGGGTGATACAGACCCCTGTGAGATTCAAATCCAAGCAAGCAAACAAAAAAATAAATAAATCGTAACAGAGAGGTGTAAAATGTTTGCTTTAATACAAAAGGGAGGACTGTGGCCTTTTTGTTTGCATCTTACAAATATTTGCATGCTCTTTGATTATTGCAAACATTGAATATTAAGCTAGACATTTATCTGAAGCAAATAAACCACAGTTTCACAGTTTGCACCAAGTCTGTAAAGGTCTACGGCCCCTCGTGAGCACCTTCCTCACACTCTGCCGCTCGGAGTAGCACTCACCTGTGAGGGACTTCTGGGCCTGTCGCGCTCAGCAGTTACATTGTGTCCAAAATCTGTATCACTTTGGCCCCCACTCTTACTGTGGCGCATGTGCTTGTGCATCCTGTGGTAAAACTGGGGTCTTCTCTTCAGAAGCCCCCCATGCTTCTCCCCACGGCCCCCTGACCTGCCATCCAGTGCTTTTGCAGTTTGGAAACTAATAGTGCACAGTCTGGCACAGCCCAGAAAGAGGACGTCGTTCCTACCTAAAATACCTAAAATCTCTTTCCATGTGGCCTTGAGGTTTTTGGGGCTGTATTCGAACAGGGACTTGGATGTTGTAATGCTGAAGGTTCCTGAGCTATAGGCACCCATTGACATTTTTAACATCCAAATTTGATCCATGGGTATACTGGAAATTTGGCACCTCGGAGTGGGATTTATAGAAGGCAGCTGAGTGGGGAGCTGCCAAAGCTGGGCACTAGCACTGCCAAGGAGACAGGGCTATGTTCTAAATTCTGTCCTTTGCTGAGAATTAAAAGCCTTACTCCGGGCAACAAAAGATGCCATTTTGGAATCACTCTCCTGAACCTTGACCTGGAAGGTCTTCTTCTTTCCCCGAAGGATAGGAGGCCTATGTGTTTGGCCTGGAGAAAGTACGTGTTGTTGCATGTGGTCCTGGCACTCGGGAGCCCGCTGAAAGCCTCTGGAGAAGGGCAGCTTGTCTGCATCAAGCACTCCTCTGCCATGACATTTGCAGAAGGCCGAGCAAGTTCTTTGCTGGCTGCTGAAACACCAGAGAGTGGGAGAGAGGAACCTGCAGCATCTTCCCTAGGATGTCGTGGGCTCTGTGATATTTGTGATAGACTTGGAGTAAAAGGCTGCTATGGCAGAGGATGAGAATGGTGCATTAATCGCCTTAGGTGGAAACAAAATCGCTGCTAATCAACAGGCAGATCTGTAATAGCTGGTTTGGCTTCAGATAAGAGTTGACATTAAAAAAGAAAAAAATCAACATCATTAACTTTGTAGAAGAACAGCTGGAAGATGGTATCAAAAGGAAACTCATATATCCGTGTTTATTTTTATCTATAATGCATGGACCTCTTCCCACCTAATTTTTGCCATCTACAAGTGACCTAGTTGTCTAGACTCCCTCTCTAGTCTAAGGAGAAAGTGCTAGATGGGATGAAGCACCTGCCATAGGTTCCTATTTAGAGATTTGTCCCTGATGGCAGGAATTTTCCTCTGGAAATGCTTGTTTCTCTTCTTTGACTGCAGGTGGAGACTTACAGCAGCCCCAGCTAAATGCCTAGCTTGTAGATAGGCACAACTAAGAGAAACCCTGCGTTTTTGTGTACTCCTTCCCCATCTGCTTCCCAAATCTGCCTTGTTTCACTGGAGATGGTGAAAGGTTTTGGTGAGGACTTTTCTTCTGTGCTACTCCGGTGGGTAGCACTGCATTTGTACCGCCTGCTCCCTCCTGCCAGCCCATTGCAGCCGCAGAGTCTGCAGGGCTGCCAGGAAGGGCACTCTGAGCTGGGGGGACACCCCCCGTGCCCCCGAGAACCTGTGGCAGGGCCGGGGCTGGCAGCCCCAGCCCTGCGGGCTGCAGGAGGCAGCGCGGGGCTGTGGCAGGTTGCACAGGGCTGCCCACGGGCTCCAGAGGTGCGTGAGCCGGCGGCATCTTTGCCTGTGGAATAGGAAACAGCTTTCCATGCAGAAACAGCCATGCGGACATGGAGCAGATGTAATTATTCATATGGGAGAAAGACTGGCAGTGCTGCCAGTATGTCCCCTCCTAGAGAGCTGCTCCTTTGCTCCCCAGCAACCCCCTCGCAGCGAGTGCCTAACTTGGGGTCCTCATAGGAGGGGTGGGAAGAAACCAAACTGTGGTGGCCTCTCGCTTCTGCCAGGGAAGCAAGAGCTGGTCAAGTAATTCGCTCTTGTGCTCCACAGAATAGCAGTCATTTGTGGGAAGCTGAAATTGCCAGAAATTCACTTTTCTTAGCAAAAAAAATAATAAACAGCCTTGTGAAGCTCATGCAGAGCTAGCCAGCTTAACCAGTTGCCAAACCCTGCTTAGGAAAGAAGACAGATGAAAACAAAACCGCTCTCATTGTGCTTTAACTAGCCCAAGCTGCAAACTTCCTTCTCGCCACTTGCTTGCCACTCACAAAGCTAGACAGGCTGTCATTATAAGCCACCTGCTGCCCCAGCTTTGCCCCATTTTTTTTAAGCCCTACAGCACTGTCATTTGATGTGTCTGGTGAGAGAATTAAAGCAGATGAAGACTGAGGATACCACTCCCTTCTGATTCCCTCCAGCTATCTTCCTGACAACCCAGTCTTCCTCATTCTGGCCCTACTCCCCTATTCTGCAGACCAGAGAATAATTAAACTCCTCTACATAAGGCAGGGCTTAATTCAATATTCAGCTTAGAATCTCTTAAAAACGCTTGTGACAAATGGGGTATATTTTGTGCCATAGCAGAAAGTTAGTTGGCATG